CACGAGAAAGACTATTTCCACTCCAGCAAAGCAGAAATATCTTTCTCCTGAGGCCAGGCGGGTCGGTGCCAGGCGGGAGCGCGGAGCAGCTGGTCTGTGAGCAGTGCGGGGCCGCGGGAGGGGGCTCAGCACCGGGCGCTGCCCCAGCTCAGCGCAGCTTTGTCAGCACCCTGGCTCTGGGTGCAGCGACAGCAGGAGGTTTCCCAGCACAAATACTGACCCTGCGTTCTTGTATAACATACATGTTAACACAAATGTAGTATAGTATGGAAACCACTAAAATCGGGAATTCTTATTCAAGCAAATGCTTTAAGAAAAAAAAAAAAAAACCTTTGTAAACTTATTTTTAGGATTCAGATGAGGATCATTCCACTCATCTTAGGGGCAAAATATTTAAATAAAAAAAGCATTTTTTCACACTGAGATTTTAATCCTGGATTAATTATTTTAGACATTTTCCATATTAATTACAGCAGTATCGCTTTTTTTGTAAGTTCTTTATCTACTTTCTTTGAGTAAAGCTATTTAATACTGGAGATTGTGGAAAACATTTGTTCATAATTATCCAGACATACAGTCAAACAAGACTGAAACAAGAGCAGCATGCAAAAATGTATTTAAGGACTATCATCCCAAAATGCTGCTAAAAGCTATTAACCAGTACGTGTTAATTGCCACAGCATTCATATTAATTTTCACTTCAGGCCCAACATTGTGGAATATTTCCCTTGATACATTTTAAACAAAGTTTAATTTAAGGAACTGCTTCTATCAACACTTATGAAAATTAACAGCCAAGCAATTAGCACTCATGAATTATCCCTTCCCCCATGCTTTCTACAGCATCATTTTTAAAACAGTTGCTAAAAGAGAAATTCTTGGGTTTTAACCCATTACCAAAACGAGCCACAAGAAACCTTGTAACACTATACAGAGGTACCATTCCTCCTGCAGGATTCTGAGCATCTGTCCTGCCAAAAATCGAGTTGACCTCTTTTTATTTAAATTATCTGCAGTCAGTAGTCACATCAACCCACAAAACCCCTAAAAGGCCAGAAAAGCTTGACTTCCTTAAATCTTCATTTTCAACTAGTAGTCATGAAAATAGAAATAATATCCTGAGAAAACTCTGGTCTGCATGCAGGGAAGGTTTTGGTCCTTGTAACTCCAGCTTATTCTGGAGCAGAATGATCCCTTCCTTACATTTTGATCATGGTTTTGCAACTTCCTTCTCTGACTATTTGGCATATCTTTAGCATCTGTTTTCTGACTGTCCTTTCACACTTCTGGTGTTTAATAGCATTCTTCTGGGGACATGGGCGACATTTGGTGGCAGCCATGTCAAAAATTGAATTGACAAGACATTTTAGTGATTACAATTTCTTACAGGTAGCAGAGACTTGGAAGAAAAATGGATGTGGACTGGCTTCAAAGATGATTTCAAGGGGAACCGTAAACAGAGGAGTTACTCATTCAGCACACGGTTCCTACAAAGCCAAACATTTGATTCCAGTTTGTAACTCAACACATCTTGGTAACATTTTTCTTACTAGTGGGAATGGTCATGCAGTTGAATTGCTTTGACACTAATACTGTACTAAATCAGTACCCTTAAGATTAATATCTCAGAAAAAAAAAAAAACCTCATTGCCATGCTTTCCAGCAACTCATGCAAGTTACACTTGTGATTTGGAAAGAAATATTCTGAATTTCTACAGAACTGAAAGATAACACATGCTTTTAAAACAACTAATGAAAGCAGGCAGGTAACATGTAGGTAAACTGAATCTTAACTGAATCTCACAGTTGTTTCACTGAAAGGAGCCACCTACAACACTCGTGTTTCACTTGGCTGCAGCTTTCAGAGCTGCCTTACGGTCAGTCTTATTTTCCCAACCTTATCAACAGCTGGCAAGTTGGAACAATAAGCCATCAAAATTTGATTAGCCAAATTCTGTAAACAGTAATATACCTGAAGTTATCTGTAACATGGGTAATTTAATTTGCATGCAGATAAAGAAATCAATTTGGCCACTGATTTCTTAAGTCTTTGAGTAATTTTCTATACAAATGACAACTGCAGTAATTATAAATAAGTAAAGGCTTCTTTTCATACAATACTCTTGATAAGAGTTTTCAATATTTATTAACCCAGACATACAACCCACTTGACATGCAAACAGATGCAGGGGTTAGGTTTACTTTAACTATTTTAAGGAAAAACTTCAAGATACAGGCAAGAGCAGTCACTGTACGTGTGCCTTGAGTTAAGAGCTGCAATTTTACAATGTACAGGAAATGATCCCTGTGGTCTGTCCTGTGTAGCTGTGGGGCAAGAATCACCTGAATTCTTGAGCTGACTAGAATGCTTCCATTGCAGTTGCATTTCACAAGTCATGTTCTCTACTATTTTGATAATTAATGAACTGATCAGAACAAGAAGAAATTAGAGTGCTTTAAAATTTTATTATTTCATAAAATTGCAGAAGTGGTTATGAAAAAGACACTAAATCTGGCAGAGAACACCTGCAAGACACAAGGATTTTAATAAACTTGCTGGGTCGATAATTCGGCATGCAATGTTTGCTTATTTTTAACTGATTAGTCTAAAACAAAACATCAAATGGAGGGAAGGACCCTGAAGAGAATGGTTGTATTTTCTTTCAGGTTGGTTAGGAAGCTGAATTAGTGGTAAGTTAAAACAAATCAGAAAGCAGCTGAGTACACACATGAACAAAGAGCTTTGATACAGCACGTAAAGCTTTCCTCTTGCTTTTCCACTGAGCCACAAAATGGTGTTACTCAACAAGCTGAAAATCTGTATTACAAAACTCATATACATATATATATCTATCTATCTATCTATAAACCAAAGGCCTAGTTATAATCTTAAAGATTTCAGAGCCACTGTGATCCCTTGAGTAAATACATAATTAAGTAGGGGTTTTTTAAGACATGTTTAATTAGGCCCCTAGCCCCTCCTCATCCCCCCCACCTCTCCCCAATTATGTACCGTTTCCCCAAGAGATATGTGGCTCTGTTAATTATGTAAATAAGTCATGCACCATTCCCTGAAAGAATTGTATTTATGTGAAAAATACTGTCATCTATTATCAATAAAAATACGAGACCTACAATATTTCATTAAAAATAATTTATAAAAGCTAGATGCTTTTTGATTTTACATTACTGGCTGAAAATACAACAAGACTGAAGTAAGTAAAATATCTTACTACTGAACTATAATGTTTCTTCTGTATCTCAGATGGTCAAGTAGGTATTTAAAAACCAGACAGTATACATGAAAATACAAAAAATAAATTTTATAAGCACACTATTGACAAACTCAGAGTAATATAAACAATGCTGTTAAAATTAATATAGTGAGATTACACTCTAACAACATGCCAATGGAGTTATTCTGGAGAGTTAAAAAGGTGTTTTGAATTTTAGATCACAAGCAAGTTGATTTGTGTCATACCTGACAAATCACAGTGGAGTCACATTGAGGCATTTCATCAATACCCCAAACTATTATGTAGAGTACAATTTCCTTCAAATGGACCAAACACTTGCTAAATGCATCAGACTTTCAAATATGAAAATTATGATGTTCATTCCAGTCAACTACAATTCCTATTAATACAGTAAAAAGTCGTTTGGATTACCAAAGTGGGAAGGAAACATACTTAAGTTCCTCAAGTTTCTGAGAAAAATTCTAGCAGGTAGCCCAAATCATGCTCAAGTAGTAAAGCAACAAGACTGGAACACCAGCAAATGACAATAAGTTTATCTTAATAAAGAAGTATTTATTGCATTTTTACTTCCTTGCTGCATGACTGTAGGAAGTACATTTAAATGTCTGCAGTTGTCAGCACCCAAGCACTGCTATCACTTACCTTACTGAGGCCAGAAGTTTTGAAAAACTGAGTTAGCACTGATTACTATATATTAGTAAGTATAAAATAACAATACAGGAAGCTTTTGCTGTGTGGAATTCATAGTTTAAAAGTTACCTTTTCACAAAGACTCTAAATACCTCTAGATATGCTCGTGGAATTACATATCTGACTTTCCACTTTAAGAACACTTAACAGAATACGAAATTCTTCCATCACAATGGTAATGAAGCTCAAACTTCACACTCCCACAGGAGGCTCCACAAACAAATCCAGCAGAAAACAGATCTGTGCACTATTTATAATTGTTTTGGAACAATATGACACTGATCCATCACACCAATGTTTATAATTCAGTTTCTAGACTTTATGACAGAGAAAAACAATCGACAATACAGAGTAAATAAACTGTACACAAGGAAAGACAGTTATCCACAATTCTAAGTAATGCCAAATCCAAGCTCTTGAAATGGACATGGTCAAGGAATGAATTTGACCTACCGGGTTTGTAGTGAACCTCCTCCATGTGTTACATAAATGAGTACTTGCACAGAACTACACTGTTTAGTCCTTTTTTTGCCCCAGATATCTTATCTATTGATGCTTCAGTTTTCCACCCTCAAAACAGTGGTTTTTTCCACTCTGACTGGAGCATTTTGAGGATAAAGACAGCACAAATCATGGAATATTCAGCAAGTGCTGTGATGTGGCTAGGCAGAATAGGTCTTTTTTAAATGCCAAATAAGCAGTCATTTAAGAGTCTCCCCATCAGCTCTGCAGAGGGACGCCCTAGGGCTCTGCCACACTAAATGTTTACCTAACTCACCTGCTGGAGAAGAAATCAGCAAGGGAAGGTTTGCCTAATGGTAAGGTCTCATTTTGTAATGAAAACTGGAGAAACAGTTCTACCGAATGTGGAACCATTATATTTAAGACTAAGAGAAGCATGTTGCTAGATAACCACTTTAAAATAACTGATGGCCTACTACAAAGTCTAATTAAAGCTTGAACAAGTAAATGCACGCAAGAGCTGCCTGAGGCCCATCATCTTCAGGTCTGGGACCACCTGGATACGAGAGAAAAACCATCTGGTCCACTTACCTTGCCGTCAAATTTGGAGTACTCATTGAAGGGGTTATTGAGCTGCAGCGGACACTGCTCCAGCCGCACAGACAGGATCGACTGCTTCCCAGAACACGGGGATTTTACTCTGAAATTCTTCTTTTCAAATAGCGAGCTCAGCTCCTCTGCTGTAGATCAGAAAGTAGATTAGAGTAGTTGTACTAGGAGATGTACAGAGGCTACTGTTCACCACAGGAAGATAACATTCTAAGAGGGAGAACAAAATCGAATATACAAACCGACAAGTGTTTTAGCAGGGCAGAACCTCCCACCACTCCTGCACAGCCCAAGGAGATGAAACCATAACAAGTCTGAATGATGATACTGTTTAGGCTGAGGAAAGGATGATTTTTTTTTTCCCCATACAGAGAATGGAACTGATCACTACAAGATCCACTTGAGTCAAGATAAAAATCAAGATTCAAAGACAGAATTCCTGGTCTCTCTGCTTGCCTGCATCATTCTACATCAACAATGAATGCAATGCAGAAGAACTGCTGACACAACTGCAGTACACCATGCAAAGACATTGCAAACTGAGCTGGTAACACGTGGCATTATTCTATAGCACAGGACATTATTATACTACCCCATTACTATATAACATCACTATGCTATCAGCAGTAGGCTTGGGACTACCTCTGGTCCAAAAGGATAATTTATTGGGATTTGACTTTTTGTGGTAGACTGGATATGGTCCCCTCTCAAAAAAATGTCAAACTTGAAAACAAAAAACAAAAAAACCCCAAACAAACAGAAAGCATCTGACAAGCAGCTCTCTTGATGTGAAGAGACTGCAAAGCTGAAGCTCCAGCAACAGTTTAACTCAAAATTTACAGGCATACTAAAAAAAAAAAAATAATTAAAATTTAGGGATTATGTGAGAAGGACACTACAAAATCAGGACAGAGCCTGGGGTGTTTTAGCATATTAGTACCAATGCAAGAAACTGTGACTGAGTCTGGACAAGTGTTTTCCACATCTGCTCTAGGAACCAAATACCCCCAAACTCCATCAATCACTACCTGAGAACCAACACCAGCTCTCCTGGACCGACTGCTCTGCGCTCCTACACTTGGATCCTCTCACATCTCAAAGATTTACATGTTGCTCTTCTGAGGAAATGAAAGTGCTCCTAAATCAGAATTACTTGGGACTTGATCTGCAGGGAGTTGGTTAATTTCTTAAAATGTGAAATTAAAACTTGTCAAATTATAACTAGTCAAAAGCTCAGTTTATTTTTTATCAGCAGATTGCCTGAAAATTCAGACAGTTGGCAAAAGTGCTAAATACTGGCACTAAGAGATATCCAACAGTCTTGTGAGAGGCTGCGGTTAACCAAAAAAGCTTGATTAAATCCTTTTTAAGTGTGGCAACTTAAACTGCATTAGGGATTCTGGCTTCTGTAAAAAGCTTGCCTTGACTTAAAAAAAATAAAAATAAAAATCTCAGTTACAATTATGCTAGAGTATTACCCTTAACTCATATTTCTTGGGCATCTGGAAATTACTCTGTACCTTGGAATCAAATATAATGGTTTTATTGGTTCAAGTGAAAAAGCAAGTCTTTTATCTTCAATTTTGTCTCCAGGGAAGTGTTCATTGTCTCCTTTGTTGGGATGAGCAAAAAGATGATCTCATAAATTTTTCCAAATTCATTAGTGTGACACCTGTTTTGCTTTGAGTTTTGTACGGCTTTTAGTCAAGTATCTCACATGACTGAATAGTTTAAATAACAGCATGTTCTATAAGATTGTAAATTCAGCTGGCTGAGGTGAGGTTTTCCTTTTCCAGAAGACCTAATAATTTCAAAAAATTCAACTCATTTATGAAGAGAAACCCAAAATGGAAGTAGAAAGGCAAAAACATTTTAGAATATATTAACAGAGGTATCAAACAGCTGAACACAGTCCTGAGGATTAGGGCAACCATGTTGCTCATGTGAACAGCTTTGTTCACTGCTCTAAAAAAAAACCCCAAAAAAGATATTATAGAGCTGGAGAAGGTTCTGCAAATGACAGCCAGGAAGATACAAGGATTTAGGCAAAAAAAAGGAGATTACATAGGGACCTCATTAAGATATACACAAATTCTGAAAGAAGTAGGCACGACAGACCATACAAAGGTTTGAATGTGCATCAAACAACAGGAATAGAGAGTAGCTTGAGCTATAAAACGAGAGAATTGAGACAGATTTTTCATTTCATATGCTACAATTTAAACTATGTGGAACATCCAGTCAGAAATACTTCATTATATAATTGAAAAAAAACCCAAAACAGCAAAAAAACCCCATAAACATATTTTTGATAAGTCAGTGATACTAGTTTTTCCAATGAAAGGTTAGATAAGCTAAGGCAGCATTTATTAAGCTGCCATTTAAGTAGATCAGATATACACAATATTTCTCAAGATCTTCCCCCTATCTGGAAAAGTAACCACAAAAATACTCTCCAAAAGTAACCTCCATGAATTTTTCATCGTACCTGGTACATCAAATGCCAGTGGCAATCGCTAGAAAGCCATAATTTCCCTGGAGATAACAATCCTGCATTTTGAATGTGGACACTGGCCAATCACCTACCCACAGAGCAAAGGTGTGTCCTGATCCTTACACATCTCACAGTAACGCCAAGAGCTCTGCCACCTCCATTTCTTGCCCATGGAGACAATAGAAGCCTTGGAAGGTAACGATGCTACAAGATGCCAAGCACAAGCACTGTGGTAACACCTTATACTGCATAAAAATAAAGCAGCCACTGGGATTACTTCAGCCCAACTCACTAGGTTGAAACATTTTTTCTTTACTTTGCTTTTATTAATAATTTGAAACCCAGCCCCAGTCGTAGCTGGAAACAAATGAGATGCCTGCGGCACCCCGGCCTCCCAAGCAATAAACTATGGGAAACACGTAACGGGGGAATGGGAGGCAAATACAATAATTAGTATTTCCTTTATGCTTTGGAAGCTTAAGTGAAAAATCACAAACTGAAAATGTCGTGACCATCAAAAGCAAAAAGAAAAACAGTAGGAAAAGAAAAGATCTTTTCTTTTTACCTGAGTAAGAAGTATTTCTGTCTTTCCACTGAACATTTTTGCATTTTATTTGATTTTGTCTCTCTTTCCGCAGCCGTTCTAGTCTCTGAGCTTGAAAAGAAATATTATAACTATAAGTTTGTCAATGAAAGTTTACTATAAACAAAGACATAATTAACTACCTTTATATGAATAAAGATGTTTTATACTGCATATGTAGAAGAAAAAGTCATAAAATTTTAAAAGGTGGCACCCCTGAAAAGCAAATACCAACAAAAACATGAAAATGTTCTTGATTTATAATTGAAATTAGAGGATATAAAACATTAATAGAGATCATAAAGATAGTATTAACATGGAAGAGAATAATAAAATGTGAAAACTTCTGTGATTAATATGACATTTCATTATATAAATCATTAATAACGGTCTTAAAGGAATTTTAATGCACAAATGAACTGAAGTGAATATTACATTACAGGAATAAAATTACTGTTATGAATTACTCTACCCGTTTCAAAAATTAAAGATAAATGAACTCAGACTAGACTATTAAAGTTTTAAATATAAAATCCTTTATCTAAAAATCATGAAAATTATAAAATGTCAAAGCTATATAAATTAGCATAGCTTTTTCTTCAGTGTGCTGAAACAGTTTATAGGTAGTAAAATAAATGATTTGTATCTTCACAACATTAGTCAAATACTAAAATGAATATAATATTTCTTTACGTATATTTTGACTCCATCTTCAAAATACGGTTTGGAAAAAAGCCTCAAATAGTTATAACATCAAAGAACTCCCAGGCCAGGGTACCAGATTAATACCTTACATTATCTCTTTGTTAAGAGCAAGATCTCTCTCAGGAAATGCTCAGCTAAACCTGGGAGAAGCTGCCCAAGACAATGACCACAGGAAACAACTGATATCACAAAGTGTCCACTCAAAATAAGAAAGTAGATCAGACTGGGAAGTGGGACTCGTGATGTTGATCACTGAAGGAAACAATTTGCTGGATATATTAGCAATTTTGATGTATTGAGATCATTCATTAACTAAAACGGGTTTGTGGAAGAGATTCTAAAATGCTAAATTACTCTTGACAATTTTTAGATACAATTTGAGCTCCCCGAGCCATTTCGCCAATTAAAAGAAAAGTTAATAAATATTTTCTATCCCTCCTATTATTCTTTTACATTTAGTATTTGAACTGAATTGTGGACACAGAAGTGATTTCCCCCCCCTCCCCCCATAAAAACTCTCAACCTGGGACCAGGTGAAAAAATCATACTTTGATGTTTAAGAGCTGTAACAAACAGGGACTTGGATGCCTAGGTCCCATTTAAGTCAAAATGAGGTTAGTGCCTAAACACCTCTATGCATCTCACTCTTAATGAAACAAGAGAGGATATATCCCTGCTTATAATTTTAAATATTGGGTAAAACACTATTGCAGCATAGATATTTTATTCTGAAAGAAAAAAACCCTTTTTTTCCCCCCAATTACTGTCCAGACTGTAGCTCAAAATTACCTTCCAAAACCCTTTCTTCCCAAATGAGCCATCATAAAATATCTGTTAGATTAATTTGTAAACAATGGATAAAGGAAAAGACATAGAATAGAAATAGGAATAATGTGTGTTTTTATCCTGTTTGATACTTTCACCCCTTGTCAAAACAAAGGTACGAAAGCAGAGTCCCCACCTTCACTAACTCCACCCTGTTCTTCCATCTACAGTTGATCACAAACGATCATTTACTGTGAGACTTCATTACAGCAACTCCCAATTAGATGGAATTCTCAGTACCTATCAGAAGCCTGAATTATTTAAGGTTCATTCCCACAAGAAGCATGTTAGTTTGAAAGCTTTCTGTGTGAAAAATGTCACTGACCAAACGCCGTCCTCAGTTCATCAGCCGTTAGCAGCTAGATGAGCCTTTGCTGGGAGAATCTGCTGCTCTCCCATGTTCCCAACACCCTGCCCAGACCTGTCCCCCCTTTAGGGTTTTTACCCCTCTGGATAAGGTGCAGTGAGGGGACGGAGCCCAGAGCCCACGACCACCTACGACCCATCTGGCTCCTGCAGAAGAGGAGGAAGAATTCAGTGGCAGACGACCCCTGCGCTCTCCCAGCCGAGATGTGCTGGGAGATGTCTCACCCACTGCACATCCCTTTCAAGGCCAAGGGGATAACACTGGGATTAGGAAGCACATAAAATTAATTTCCAAATTTGCATACTCACATGAGAAACTACCTAATAACCAACACTTCTGTAGTCTCCACAGAGAGGTGTTGAGTCTTCTACAGTAACACATTACATCTACTATTTATGAAAAAGATACTATCGTGGTAATAGATACTTGATAATAAAACAGCTTTGCAAAAGGTACTAAAAAGTTATACTCCACCCAAAACCAGTGGTTAAAGACAGCACAAGCAGAAATCATTTTAGTTAGCAGGGTATAAAACCAAGGAGAACAAAGAGCTTCCGTGTTCAAAAAGTCTGCCACTATTACCTGTTGATAGACAAAATGACACTATCTTCTCTTTCCAAACCTAAAAATCATGACCTGCCTTTCACAGAACAAATGTTCCTGCTCTCGATAAATCTACTCAGGTAGTTATGCATTAAGTAAAAAGAGAAGTGTCCTTACATTTGACTATTTTAGGAGCAAAAATTGCAGATTTCACCATCAAAGAGTTTTTGTACCCAGTAGATATATGAACACCTTGTTCTGTGTATGTATACATCTGTTTTCTCCCCTCAAGAACTTAGGTAAGTACTTGTGTAATGCAAAAGGCATTTATATTAAAAACAGTTAACTTTCTATTTAATTTATTCCTCTTGCTGTATTTTTGAAAAGGGTTCAGTACTGATCAACTTGCATTCTTTGTAGGCTTTTTCCCCACCCTGCTCTATCTCAAATCATAACCTGATGGCCTCGATAACTGCGTTGGTTCCTGCTGGCACCAGCACACACAATGGAACACAAAACACGCGCCTGATGCAAAGAGGCAAAAAACTGGCTCCCAATGGACTGAGTGTCCCCACCATTATTTTAGAATATGCCACCAATTGGAAACTGAAATGGTTTCCATCCATAATTTAAACAGAGATTATTCTATCAGACTACTCACTTGGTGAAATAATCCTTCAGAATTATTTTTTGGAGCAATTCTGTGAGACTTTAAACTTTGTCTCTTCTTCCACATAAACTATTATACCACCAACTGAACTAAACCAGACCTCAAGGACAGTGCCAGGCAGTCTGCCACACTAAATGTTTCACCATGCCTTACAGTTAGTTGCAGCTATATATCCAGCTTATTTCCAGATTCAACTCTCCATCACATGAGATCAGTGACCTGTCTTTTCTGGAACTGCTGATAACTTCTTATTTCTAAAAGGTATTTCAGGATATTCAGTACCACACCACATTTTACTTGTTAGGTAGAGCACAGATGTTTTTTCTGAGCTCTAGGTGGTGTTATAATACCTTCAGAAATCATTTGAAAAAAATATATACTGTAACACAGAAAAAAGAGATTGGTATTGACCATCCTGCACCAACCTCTTCATATATATATATATATATATATATAAAAAACAGAATTTTTGCTCTAGCATTCCTCAGGTATAAGTAGAAATCTGAATATTCCTCACATGAAACAACAAATGGGACAGCTTTCTTACAGTCAAGACAAGCTGAGCATATTTTGAAAAGGTGTACACACTAAAAAATTCCTGATTTGGTAACTTAAATCCTAGCACAAGGGTTTTTTTTCTCAGAAATAAAACTTCAGAAGACAAAATATCCAGAAATTGTTCACTTAATTGGCTCACATCAAACTTCATTCCTCTCTTTAGATCAAATAGATTTGATCCCTCACTGGGTACATTTTTCTCAGAAAATAACTACCCTGTTCAAAAGTTAACACCCCTCCAGACATTAACAATAGAAATATCAAAGACTGTTCATGTACTTTGGACTTAGACTTGATGTCTTTACAATTTAAATTTTTTTAATATATAAAACTGACTACCTCAATGTTCCTCTGTACGTGAATAAGTAAAAGAGCAATTAAAACCGAGTTGACAGCACACTGAAGTAACTGAATCATTACATGTCCTCTTATGAAAAGGGCCCTGACATTACAAAAGGAAATGTCTGACAGATATCAAGCTAGTCATGCTCAGATTTGTCCACGCAGGCCAGCCTAATAGAAACTGAATTTAAAAGGCTAATGTTATCTTGGCTGCAAATATCACTTACCTGTGTTTGATCGTCTTCTGATTCCAAAGTCCCAGCTTGAGGTAATATCGACTGATTGGGAATACACATAGCCCTGAGTCTCACCGTTGCTTCCCTGTGTCTCTGAACCACTGTCCCCGTATGCTGACGAGGGATTAAACTTCTCCAGGTCAACATCGTGATCTATCAGGACCATTTCACACATCCCGGTGTCATCGCTGGTCACGTGTGACTGCCGAATATGAGCCAGTATAATTGTTGGGTTGTCCAGGAAAGCCATTCTGTCCACAACTCCACACTCCACTATACTATCTTCTCTCCATCTTGTTCCATGGACACAAGTACCTAGAAATAGAACATATACAGCATTTTAGGGAAAAAAAAGCCCAAAACAAAACCCAACAAACCCCGAATCAATCAGGTTTATGTTTTGGATGCACAAAACCTAACTGGCTCAGTTTTGTACAGTGAATTATTTTAATTCTGCTCCAGTGTATGTAAGTTACACTGCTTGCTGAGATCCACCTAAAGAATAGTGGTTTGGAGGACAGCTTGAAACCTGAACCCCAAGACAGCAGAACAAAACAGACACATCCCATTACCACAAATGGTTGCTACAAGGCAAATGTTTTAAGTACTACACATAGAAGGATGGAGAAAAAATACACCAAAGAAACACCTGTCTAGTCAAATCAATAAATTTACAAAACCAGATAGCATCTTAAATTTGTTTTGACCCATCATAACAGTGTGTTCCTGTCTCTCTCCTGCCTCTCCACACCAACCCTTTGATTCCTTCATTACAGACTCTCTTCAGGTTTTGTATTTCCAGGAAAAACTTTAAACATTAAGAGATTAGGATTTCAGGGCAGAATATCGAACCTCTGCTGTGAGGTGCTTCATACAGGGCAACTGTTGTCATGCAGAAAAGGTTCTATGATCACATACCACACAGATGAATTCTTAAGCACTTTAGCAACAGTAATTGCCACTTACCTAAAACATTTAGTTCAGAGTACTCAAGCAGCTGTACAAAACAATGTCGAGGGTAAAAAAGAAAATAAAAACCCCCAAACAAACCCCAAACCACACACAAACTGTTATTCTATTTTACTGTAGCACTGGATTTTTAGCTATGTTAATCTAATTCAAGTCTGGGCTGCCTCTGAAAGGGCCAACTCCACGCTCCTGCGTGGCTCTGCTCAGGTATTTCCACCACCTCCCAAAGGTTGGCATTAGCACTGGCGTAGCTGCATCAAAAAAATGACCTGAAAAGAAGAAGAGAAAAAAAAAAAAAAAAAAGGCTAATTTTCAGGCTGATCAGTTCGCCAGTGAACAGCTGCCAGAGCACCAGTACCAACATAACACAGGCAGCAGGAACATCAGCAGCCCGAGGAGAGCCGAGGGTTCCCTTCTGCAGCGGAGCTCGCTCGCCGCCGCTCAAAGCGACTTCGAAACCTCAGCCTGAAGATGAGGGAGGTTGGTGGGGTTTTTAAATCTAAGCTCATCGAGAGGTACAAGATAGGGGTAAATTCCACAAGTTTAAAGCCCCCACTGCTTCTCTAGTCATCTGCACGTCTGAGAAAAATCCCAACGTTTTAATACCAGCTAGAGAACTACAAGTATTTATTTAGTATTCTGAACACAGAAACAACAACAAAACCCAACCCCTACCATTGCTGTTTGCAAAACTTCTGTTAACGAGAAGAAAACACCAAAGGAAAAGAAACCATTTAGAAATCACACAAAACCATATCCCATGAAAATCTGGTAAAGGCAGCTGGCCTGTTCCTGGCAGATTTTAACAGCAGAAAGGGAAAGAAAGCAGCAGAGCGCCTCGTTCCAGGACCAGCACCCACATTTCATCGTATCCAAGGGGAAAGGTGCATTAACACACAGAGCCCCACAAAGCAGCTCCTGCATTTACATCGGTGGAAGCAAAAGTAACACTTGATTTGGGCACTCATCTCATCACGACAAAAGCAGAATTTTGAAGGTGCACTGTAAATTGCAAACCCACTATCCCTACCAGTATCCTCCCTGCCACCAAACATCAGCATCCACTAATTGGAGCATTCAATAAATAGAGATTTACATCCTTCAGAATTCTAGGCTTTTTTTGCTCTGTTGGCCACAGATATTGCCATCTTTTTTCTGAGAGACTGCATCTTTTCTGCTTTAAAAAAAAAATACAGACAAATTCAAAAGTATTGTATGAAACAACAGACCCAGCAGCAAGATGGAATTCAATAAAAGAATGGTAGAGAAATAAAACCGACATGCTGCTTGTTATTAATACACTACTCCCACCATACATTTTAATAAATTATGCTATTAGCTGAACACGTTCCATCGGTATCCGTGGAGATATTCAAACCCCAGCTGGACGAGGCCCTGAGCAACCCGCCGGAGCTGGCCCCGCTCGGGGGTTGGACAGATCTCCAGAGGTCCCTGCCAACCTCAGCCACGCCGAGGCTCCGAGTTCTATTTTTTATTTTCTGACTATTTCCATTACAGAAAGTAGGCCTGCTCTCCCGGAAGGATTCCTCATTGTCCTCAAAGTGAGAGGCCAGAAGGCAAATATCCCGCCATAAGGCGGCCGTCTCCTGGCCGTAATTTACGTGTTAAAGGCCTTTCGGCCCTGGCAGAGCGAGGCTGGGAGGACACAGACACAGCTCAGAGCACAGAGCATGGATATTTTAAAAAATACATCAAGAATGTGCTTTAAACTTAATTATTTACATGCTGCCTATTAGAAAAGGCCACACTTACCTGCGAGCAGCAAGAACTTGTTTAAATAAGCAACCGCCTTAGGCCTCTAAAAGGTCTGCAAACTCCCAATCAAAAATTACTGCTGCCCCATCAATGTGTCATATAAATGTTGGCATGTTAATTGTGTATTTATAAGATTGTTAATGGTTAGTTAATTTACCTCCCACACTATTATTGTACTTGAAATGATTTAATGTCTGCTAAGGGAGTTAACAACATGTAACAGCAGATGCGAGAATTTTACCTTTATACTCTGCACCCCGACTTCGTGCTATTAACAGTCCGTGTGCTAAATTACCCAAGCTCCTTCACAATTTTACATATGCAATCACTTTTCCCATAAACATGAACAACAGGGAAAAAACTGACAGAAATTCTCTTTCAAACTCTAAACTTTAATACAAACACATTTCTTTTTCTTCCCGCTCTTCAGAATTTTAAAGAGGACATATTAAAACTAATTTCTAAATAAATTAATGTTAGCTGGAAATTCTATGAACAGGTAACACCAGTCAAAAAAAAAAAAAAAATCAGAAAAAAACTTCAGACTCCAAAATTCAGTTCAGATTTTTATGCCTTATTTTAGTAGTTGTTACCCACACAATTCCAACCGGTTCCTCCTTCTGATAAAGGCAAAACGCAGCGCTGGTCTGAGGAACAATGACCTCCAATGAAGGAAAAGAATTTGGAGAAGCAAAGTTCAGTTTTGTAAACCTTTACACAAACACCTTGAAGCCCCCATCAGTTCAGTCATCAGTTCCAGCAACATTACGGCTACAAGATCAATTTCTAGATGCAGAGAGATTTGCTGGCATACCACCTCCTCTGCATTCCCCATGCCCACGCAGGGTTACCACATCCACACAGATGTGTGGATTTAACAGAATTTAACAGAATTCAGGGACTTTATCAGCATCAGCGACTGATACATTCTTCAATCAGAAACAAAAAAATAAATGTTCTTTTAATACTTGCACTATGAAATGAAATACTTTGCAGGTAGCTGCCAAGCGTACGCTACGCAAACACCAAAAATAAGAAGAATAATGTGAAACTTGTGCAACCCTCACAATATTTACATATGACTCGATATACAGGTTAGTGTTACCATGATATATGACTTATCAGCCAACACCTTCCATGATTCATCACACAGGTGGACGGAGCTGAATCAGCCCTTCACGTTCTTCTTGATCTTTATTATTAATCTGCCTTATTTGCTGCGTATTATCTAATCAACACCCCGG